TTTTGGACAGGGTCTCACTATGGAACCCTGACTGTCCTGGAACTTTTTGTGGAGACCAGGCTGGCCTTGAATTCAGAGAGATCCGTCTGCCTCTGCCTTCTGGCAACTGCATGAATAGAAAAATTAGAAAAAGGAAAAATACCTTAAATATATAATAGCGTTATGTGCTGAGCATTATATTAAGCATTTATTGAGTACTAACTGTGCAAGATGCTTTTATGTATAAGACATTCTGTAATCTTCACTTGGACCACTTTGCAGATAAAAAAAAAAAACAAATACACCAGACTGTGAGAGGTTAAGTGACTTCTCCAGGGTTATGCAAGGAAACCATTTGAATGGGAAATTGAATAGTTTGTGTCCTAACTCATACAAGCTGTCTTCAGTTACAATTTTTTTGGTAGTCTACTGATTTTTAAACTCGATTAGTGAAGCAGAATTGTAAATCCAGCATCCCCCTAATGATCTGTGAGAATATGCAAAAACATACTCTGTTCACAAGGAGCTTACTCTCTAGGGGAGCAAAACTCAACATACATAATAGTATTAGAAGAAAGGTTATATAAGTAGATTTCCTCCTATTCCCCCCTCCCCCAAATTCCCAAATTGGTTTGAGTGAATTTGGAACGTAGAACATACTTTACAGAAATAATATCAATTGACATTTAGATTTAGAAAATATATTATATTGAATTTTCTTTTTAGCATAGTAATGGTTCTTTGAGCATGAATTACTCTCAATGACTTTGCTGGGGCAACAGGATCATGTCTTTTTCTTCCATTTTCTGTCCTTGGCTGGGTCAGTGAGAGCAGATGTGTCAGTATTTTGGTATTTTAGGGCCTGAGACAAGGCACTGGAAGTCCTGCTTTCCAGCCGACACTCAGTGTGACCTACATTCTTGCCAGGTGGATTTGGACATCTTCCCTGATGGAAAACATACTTCCTTTGAACAGCCCAAAGTATCAAGAGCATTATCTGTTGCCTGTAGAATTTCCCAAGAAGCTTCCAGTCAATTTTGGGAAACACATAAATACATTCACTTGTAAGTCTAATATAAATATAAAAGATTTTAAAAGTATAGCTAAATAATTGAATAAACAAAAAATGAAAACCTTAATATCCAAAATTATACTTCAGAGAATGTTAATATTCTCAAAATATTAATTGGCTTTCACTGAAATAAATGTTCTGTGATCAGAAGTTTCAGAGTTGCTGCATTAAACGATCTTGGAGGCTTTAAAATGCTAATATATAACTTTGAAAGAGTGAGATATGTTATGCGTGGTAGACACAAGCTTCTTAGACCATGGAGTAATGCCTTTAAGCATGTTCCCTGGAATACATTTTTGGAAAATACTGGTGTAGATAGGTAATGTTTCAGTTTTGGACAAGTGTGAGTTTGATATATGCTTGATACTTGAACTTGGCCTTGAATTATGAGTAGCATGAGACTAGGCAGAAGTGAGAATAACAAGTTGAATGGGAGAAGCAATGATGTAGTTGGGAAATTGGAGGATTATAAAATAAACAATGTGAGCTAGTATTGAAACATGGCTTTTGGTGATAGAGGCCTTGGAGGCTAGAAGATCATCAGCCATGTGTTTTTTTATGTATTGCCCAATACAATTTGAATGTATAGGGAACTCCAAACAAAATGAGCCCACTTTAGCTATTTATTGAATTGAGAGAGAGAGAGAGAGAGAGAGAGAGAGAGAGCTTCATTGAATAATTTAAAAAGTTCCTTTAAGTTCCAGTTGAGTGGCTTAGTCTTTACTGTATTATTTGTATAGTAGCTGATTTGAAGAGGATATACCCATGTTTGATGATAGCTGTCTTGAATAAGACAGGCACGAAGGTTACTTTTTTTTTTAAAAAAATGTTTTTTATATTATTCTTTTTACTTTATGTATATGAATGTATTGCCTATATGTAGGTAAGTGCCCTCATGTTGTGCAGTACCCATGGAAGTCATAAGAGGGTGTTGGATCTGCTGGAACTGGAGTTAAGGACGATTGTTAACTGCCATGTAGGTGCTGAGAACTAAACCTAGGTCCTCTGCAAGAGTAGCTAGTTCTCTTTACCACCGAGCCATCTCTACAGTCCCAAGGTTACTTCTTGAGAGAGCAAGGAAGAGGGAGATTATGGTTAGATTGAAGATTTTGAATGTGTAGAGAAAATTTACAATAACCATTGGGTTATCACTACATTAGGCTTTTTAGGAACCTCAGGAAAGTAGTGACGTTGAGAGGGTAGCAGTACATGAAGAGAACAGAAGGGAACAGAATTCATTTTCATTGTGTTCAGGTACTCCACCAACATCCAAGCTAGGTAAGTCAAATAGCTCCCCACCTTATTGACAAGGAACTAGGTTTGGAATGGTGAGTGAGGTAAGGTTGCTCAAGGTCTAATGGACTTGGACCTAGATCTGTTGAATTTCTTTTTCTTTTTTTTTCATTAATAAACTTTATTGAGAATTTCATACATGCATATAAGGTGTTCTGGTCAAATCCATACCCTCTCCCTCCCTTCCAACACCTCCCATATCTCCCCATCACTTTTTTTCTGACAACTTCGTGCTCTCTCTTTTCTTCCTTCCCTCCCTCCCTCCCTCCCTCCCTCCTTCCCTTCGTTCCTTAAATGGGGCTTTTTGCTATTCTAACATCCCCCCTCTCTGAAGAGGTAACCCTAAAATATTTTAGGGATTAGATAAGAACTCCCAAATACTTCTGACAGTTTTGGCCTTTGGAACAGAGCATGTTGCTAAGAGGCCCAAGGGCATTTTGACTTTGGCCAAGAAACTGGCTACTTTTCTTTGGGGTCTTTTTTTACTGTAACTGCCTAGCTAATTCCTTCCTCCTATTCTTATCACACCATCCTCTGAAGAGGTTACCCAAATTGCTGATAGGGAGTTGGGACACAGTCCACTCTGGCTTCTTCCATGCTGAACAGGGATGCAGGGTGAGGTAATCAGGGTACCCCTTCATAGATCTGTTGAATTTCTTAAGGTCTTTCTGAACTATGTTAAGTCTTGGTGGGTGAATATGGCAGAGTAAAAAGGCCAACAAGGTCTGGGGTATTTGTGTCAGCAGAGTTAAAGCTGAGCAATGAAATTAGCCTGGGTAGGGGAAGGCAATGAAGTGATGTTGAGTAGCGGTTGAAGAAGTCAGTGCAGTAGGCTATTTGGTTTTATTTATTTTTTAACTTTTATTTTTCCTGAACATTGTTTGGATTACCATACTACTTTTTTTTTTTAACCAGTAAGACCTTGCACTGTGGACTAGTCATTCTGTGTAGGTACATTGTTAGTGCATGTTTTGGTCTAGTAAACATGCTTTGCTTTCCTTTTTCATTCCGATGTGCCTCATCTCACATTTTCACTTCCTAATTTTGACTTTGAAGTAGGGTGTTTGGATGCCCCCCTCCCCAAATCACCTCCATTTACTACATGTTGCATCCTGGATTCATTTTGTGTGACAGAAGCTACTTTAGGGATTCCTTCAAAGTATCTTTAGAAGTTGTAGGTGTGTAATTGCGTTAATATTTCTGATGGATACTTAAATATTTCTTTAAAATTTTTATTTTTATTTTATGTGTGTCAATGTTTTGCCTGCATGTATGTAAGTGCACCCACGTGTGCGTTGCCTCTGGAGGACAGGAGAGGATGTCGGATCTCCTGCAACTGGAGTTAGCTGAACTATTGTTAGCTACTGTATGGGCACTGGGAACTGAACATGGGTCATCTGCAAAAGCAACCAGTATTCTTTTATCTATTTCTTTATTTCTTTATTTTAATTAAAAATTTTTTAACTTTAAAAAAATTTATTGAGAGTTTTATACATGCATATAAGGTGTTTTGATCAAATTCACTCCCTCCCCTCCAACTCCTCCCATATCTCCCTATCACTTTTTTCTCATAACTTCATGTACTCGTTCTTTTTTTTTTTTAAATGTTGTTACTTTATTTAAAAAATTTTTTTATTATTTTTATTTTATGTGTATGCATGTGTTGCCTGCATGTAGGTAAGTGCACCTGTGTCGTTCAGTGCCCGCAGAGGTCAGGAGAGGCTGTCGGATCCCCTGGGACTGGAGTTACGGACAGTTGTTAGCTGCCATGTGGGTGCTGGGATTCGAACCAGGTGTTCTGCAAGAACAACCAGTGTTCTTAATCACTGAGCCATCTCTCCAGACCTCTTTCTTTCTTTTTAATGGGGCCTTTTGCTACTCTAACATTCCTCCTCTGAAGAGGTAACCCTAAAATCTTTTAGGGATATACAAGCTCCCAAATACTTCTGACATTTTTGGCCTTGGAACAGAGTGTGTTGCTAACAGGCCCAAGGACATTTTGACTTTAAGCCAAGAAACTGGCTACTTTTCTTTGGGGCCTTTTTACCCTAACTGCTTAGCCAATTCCTACCTCCTATTCTTATCACACTATCACAAGAGGTTTCCCAAATTGCCAATGGGGAATCGGCTCCCTGATGAACTGTAACCTGGGAGATGTAAGCTAAATAAACCCTTTCCTCCCCAAGTTGGTAGTGGTCAGAGTATTTTGCAATGGAGAAACAAACCAGAACAGAGTCCATTGGAATTTCTTGACAAGGGCTTCAAAAAGCATCCCTCTATTGGGTACCTCCTCATTTTTCTTTTGTCTGCCAAGGGTGGACTCAAGAGTGATGGACTCAGGATTTGTTTTCAGGCACTTTGATAGATGTTGGAGTGGCTAGAATTAGGGTTGTCTCCCTTAGCTACAGGTGCTCTCTATAGTATTACAGACCAAGATTTGAAGTCTTACATCTGAGCAGCACTTTCTGCTTAGAAACAAAATCATCAATGAGAAATAATTCTCTAAATAACATTGTATATGGACTTAAGCCTAATGTCTGGGAAGTGTAACCTCTTGAACTCTTAAAGAAATATATTGATCACTTTAATCTTTGGTTATACCTTCCTTTTGGGTGTTTAAAAACCATACAGTTTGCCCAAATAAACCAATTTATTTTTACTCTTAAGGTCATTTGAGGATCTGTTCCTCAGGGGTCACGTGGGCTTGGGAGGAGCCCCTGGCTCCTTTCTTCTATCAGTTCCATCTATGTGAAGTTAAGTCAAAGGTTCTGCTTGACCATGGATGGCTTCACTTGGAAGCATGGAGGAGATGTTTCCTTTGAGTTGACCCTTCTCTTTGTAGACTGGACACTGGTTCAAGTCCAACTGGTGGGGTCTCCATGGCCTCCCTGAACAAGAGGACAGGTGACTCACCACAGTTACAGGACATTTAACTGCTGAGTCATCTTTCCAGCCCCCAGAATGTTTTTTAAACAGCTTTATCGTCCTATCATTGATATGTCAAAGTTCTATATATATTTAACTTGATGTTTGTGATATATATAAATGAAATAGGAACCACAGTCAAGCTAAATAATGCATCTGTGATCTCTAGATAGTTACCATTTATATGCTTGTACATGTGTGCATGTGTATGTATATATGTATGGTGAAAAGATTTATGATCTATTTTACAGCCAGTGCTTTAACCACTGAGCCATCTCTCCAGCCCTTAAATATTTTGGGAATTTCAACATGAAATACATTTTTTCAGTTTTGATCAGATTACAATGTAATATCATATGATGTGGACCAGTTTTTAAATACTTAACCTTTTCAATAATAGCAAGGTTTACATGTCATTAATTTTTCCAGATTCAAAACAAAATAGCATAGAAACAGTTGTTATTCTTTTTGGCTCAGTTCCTTATATTGACATAAGTGTATTTTGAATTTGTGAATACTTTTTCAGAATATTTCTAATCTATAGAAATGTACTTTTATCACTTGAGGAATATAGTTAAACTCTGACCTCTTAAACCGTGGGTCTCAGTCAATAAAGGTCATGAAATATTTGGTCACAGTAAAAGGTTTTTCAATATGCAAAAAATAAAAAATTGAGAATCAAAGATGTGATGGATCTGAGTTGTTTCTAGTAGCTCTCGTTCATGCTGTGTCATGGGACTCCTGTGCGGCCTTGGTTGTGATTCTGTGGCAGTCTTGGTTCTGAACACACAGCATGTGTACTTCACACCTCTCATGTCTTCATGCCACATAGTGCTGATGGATGCTGTCTGACAGCTCAGATTCCAGAAGACTGCACATTATGAATTACAGTGTTTTTACTGTACATATGAAGGTTTCTACTCTTAGAGAAACGTAATAGTTTATGAAAACCAAAGACTTTTAGTATTTCCCAACCATCATTTCCTAGAATGTAAAAATCAAATTAGTGTATTTTTTATGTTAAGTTTTATTTAGAATGTTTGGTTTTAAAAATTGATGTTTGAATTACTGATTTGGGTTTCATAAAAAGTTGTAGAAAAAATTTTGGTTTGGGATGAGGACAGTGGTTTCTGAAGTGGCCCTAACTATAGCTTTTGCAATTCTTTACTGTGTATTCATGTGAAGTAGTAGTCTCAGCAGTGTTAATTATGAAATCAAAATTTTGATCAATTTTGAAAGATTTTGAAGCTCCTCTGCATAGTGCCATGTCAGCTGTTCCGCCATGATGCAGTTCTTGGTGTGGAAATAGCAAGCACATTCATTTCATTATTATGTACATTTGCTTTCATCTTTAATAAATAGCAAAATTATGTGCATAACAAAGAATAGTTTTAAAATAAACTTTTATTGATTATCAGTAAATATTTAATTTGTGTACCTTTGTATGTATACCCGGATTGCTTAAAATTTCTTGGATGAAAGCGGTTCCTAATTGGAAACATCTTAAGGAGCTCTAGTTTAAGCCAATTAAGAAATGTGGAGATTAAGATTAAAGTTTCTGTGGGAAAGATGAAACACTAAGAATTGGACAAAATTACTTCTCATGTTTCAAATTATGATAATTGTGAATCTGATATTTAAAAATTCAGAAAGCCTTGGATTGTCACTGTCATCTATCTGTATCACTGTCTCATACAGGTTTTTAATTTAGATGGAAAATGGGTAAGGAACAATCTGAAATTCAGTTCAGGAAGAAGATGCAAGTGTGATAACAGGTAAAGGAAGGGTGTTTAGAATGCTAAATAATAAGCAATTGGAGTCTGTTTTCCTTAATGATTATTACTACTTCCCAGTAGAAGGCATAATGATAGATGTTTTTGTACATCAGGCTACAGGTCTTTTTTTTTTTTTTTTTTTTTGCATCAGGCTACAGGTTGATACAAAATATATTTAGATTTTTGTTATTAGATTATTGTTATTGTTTTTCTTTTTATAGTTAACTTCCATCACCATGATCATTTCTGCTTTTTATTATTATTTTGGGTTGTAGAATCTTTGGATGAGCGTAACTGAACGTTCTTTCAAGTTCTCATGACTTTGGAGACTTGAGGACACATTGACTCATGTATCCATAGTTTGTATTTTTGAGGGCTATCATTACCATTTTTGTTGTGTTGCACTTTCTCTTTCTAAATATAATTGTTAAAATTTTGTAATCTTGTTTTCAGTAAAAATCTTTTAGATTGCTGGGCGTGGTGGCACATGCCTTTAATCCTAGCACTCAGGAAGCAGACGCAGGCGGATCTCTGTGAATTTGAGGCCAGCCAGGTCTACATAGCGAATTCCAGACCAGCTGGGGCTACAGAGAGACCCTGTCTCAAAAAGACGCCCCCCCCCAAATCTTTTAGATTGATAGTGGGAAATTTTTATTGCAAAAAATAAATGCCTTTTTTTTTTTAAAAAAAACCCCGCCTTATTTGGGAGAAGAAATAATGGGAAAAGAAGTAGGAAAATGTATTAGTAGAGATATAGAAGAATATTAGACACTCGTAAGGGAGATAAAGTGTTGGAAATGCTTAGAATTGAGGGAAATATCCCAAGTAGAGGAGTATAGGGATATATGGAATACTTTTGAGTAATATTTTTTACAGCATGAAAGAAAATGGATTTGAATAGCATCTAATAGAGAATTAGTTTTCAATAAAAGTTTATTATTAAAAATTGGTAAATGGGCCTCTTCCTTTCCCTGCTTAAAACAATGGTTGTCAAGTCTAGGAAGGGACAAACTATTTTCTGTTTGAAGCTTGTATGCATATATATGTGTGTGTACACATGTGCATACATATATACATACATGTTAAATGAAGGGAGCACCTCAGAGCTAGCAGATTATGCTAAATGAAGAAGGAATGGGAAGAGAATACAGGGTTATGCTGCGGTATAAAGAATCACATATGGAGATACATGGGTATGGAAGGAGATTGAATAAAAGACCTGGTTATCAAGAGAAAATGGAATTTGTTTCTAGTGGGCTTTAGTGGATGGACCCACACTGAAGGACATTTGGGGACACAAATCAGATTCTATAGCCCATATTATATACATGAAAGTACATTAAATTGAGTGGGCATATGGAGAAGGTGTGGATAGGGAATGGGCTCTAAATACCATCAGACTATAGTATATGAAAATTGCCAAAATTCAATAAAAAATGCAAAACCAACCAAACAAACTTAGAAAGTTTCTGATAATTTCCTGCTGCTGTATTTAAGTCTAAACTTGTTTGCCTCACTTTCAAGGTCTATAATCTTAGATGGCTTACTTTACCTGCCCAGCCTAATTTTCTTCTGTTATTTGGTATGTCTTTTCTGATCTGTCTATTCAACCTGGTTTTCTCACCCTGTCTTCTTTTGCCCCTCCTCCCTCCCCTCCTCATATACTTGTCTCTGACTGGAATCATTTCCTTTCCTCCATTGTTAAGTTCTGTCTTCTTCTAGTAGACATTAATTGTAATAGCATACCTCCAAATTCCTGCCGTGCCTTTCCAACCTTAGTTTAGCATTTGCTTCTCATGATTCATGTGTCTTAGGTGCTTTTCCTGGTTTACATTATATTTTTCAGAGCAGCAGAGACCTTTTTTACTTCTATCAGTCAGGTACACTGACTAACTAGGGCCTGGGTGTTTTCTTAGGAGCAATTGTTTTTTTTTTTTTTTCATGTGTAGATGTTCCCATGGCAATAACAGGTGATGGGAGAAAGACATGGTTGTCTGCATGTGGGGAGGTTGTGGCTTCCATCTGCTTGTTTAAGTTGTTTTGTTCTTTTTGAACCTGAGCTTCTCTTGATTTTTTGGTCACTTGGATATCTCTTATTTGTCTAGATTAATTGTCATCATTGATCTCTTTCTTGTAGTCTGCAGGTTATTTTCCAGAAGTAAATTGAAAAAATCCAATGTGAAATCAACATTGAAATTTGTTAACTGTTGCCATCAAGATTTCTAAACTATAAAAAAATTCCTTCTCAAGTTTACTTATAGATTAATACCAAGATAATTTCAGGTAAGGCAGTAATTTCTAATGTCTCTTTAAATTATGTGGTTATTGTGACAAGGTGTTAAATTTTCTTTCTCTTTGGGGAAACTCTGCATGTATCTTGATAAATTGATGTTATAGCGTCTTCATTTTTATATTACTCTGAATGCTAACATTCTTTAACTTAATTTTTTCTTTAAATATCTAACATCATGAATTTCTTTGATTTCATGGTTGTGTTTTGCACTTTGGATAGAACTGCCTATTGGTGTACTATGTTAGTGGTTCATTTAGTTATCCTGAATGTCTGGAGTCTATAACTGCCTAATATTTACCTAACTTTGTTTTACCTTCCTGATGAGACTAGAAATACATGGAGTTAGCAGAAAACACAAATGTTTCTCATTTGAAGCATTGAATTGCCATTGAATTTCATTTGTTCATGATAAGGCAGAGTAAGCTGTGAAATATAAAGATGGGCTACTTTAAATTAATATATTTTAAGGTTAAATGAGGAAGTACTTTGTTTACTAAATGAAATAATCTTTTAAAAAATTTTGGGGCTGGAGAGATGGCTCAGTGGTTAAGAACACTGGTTGTTCTTGCACAAGACCCGGGTTCGAATCCAAGCACCCACATGGCAGCTAACAACTGTCCTTAACTCCAGACCCAGGGGATCCGACAGCCTCTTCTGACCTCTGTGGGCATTGCACGACATGGGTGCACCTACCTACATGCAGGCAATACATGCATACACATAAAATAAAAATAACAAAATTTAAAAAAAAATTTCAAAATTGATGACCTGTTGGCCACTCTTGGGGTAAGTCGATCATGCCCACCGAGCCTTGACTCCCCTAGCCTCATTCACCCTCCCATCTCCCCTGTGCGTCTCTCCTCCTAGCCTGGGTCCTGTCCCATTCCTTGTCTTGGTGCCCCAGACACTGGGGCAACCGCCACTGCTTCCTGTTCCTTTGCATCCAGACCAACCCAGTTACCTCTCGCGGTTCACAGGAGCCCTCTGGGCCTGGTCCCGCCCTCACCTCCCTCTGCTTCCCTGGGCTGCACAACCCACCAGCCTCTTTCCTGGACGCTGGGGCCTACCTCTCAGCTTCTTGATCCTTTGCATCCAGACCAACCCAGTTCCTCAGTGCAGTCCCCAGGAGCCCTTGGGGCCTCTTCCTGCTCCCATCTCCCTTTGCATCTCTGAGTGTCACGGCCACCAGCTGGCCAAGACCAGCATGTTTCCTGGGCCCTGCTACCAGGCCAGTCCAGCCCCCAAATTGCTGAGGACAAAATCTTTCCTGGAGGGATCCAGACCTTAGGAGAAAGCCTGAGAGCATCTGATCCTCATCTGACTTGGGCCTCTGTGGGAACTCCTGAAGACAAAAGCAATCTGGCCACTCCAATATAAAATCAAAAGAGAGAACCGGGCGAACCAGCTTTTCATGCCCAGAAAGTAAGCCACAAAGGCACATAAAGTTTACAAAAAGAAGCAGACCTAAACTTGAAGGCTTGAGTCTCACACAAGAATCAGAAACTACAAAAGAAATTCACATGTCAAAATCACAGAGAAAAAATAACATGAAAAACCAAAATAACATATCCCCACCAAATACCAATAGTTCTCTAGAGGAGTACAATGAGAACCCCCTAGAGATAATGCAGGACATGGAACTCAAAAGAACAACTATAAACATGATAAAAGAATTCAGTGAGTTTAAAGAACACACAAACAAATCGAAGAACTGAAGGAAGAGAGCGATAAACCCCTGAATGAATTCAGAAAAGAGCTGGAAATATTGAAGACTACTCAGGCTGAAATGAAGAAGGAAGTGAAACACTCAGTAAGCCAATTAGAAACAACAGGAGAAAGCTTGCCA